CGGCCGCTCCTACAGCAGCGTTTGCGCCCTCCACCTGCACAGCTGGCGCGCCGTCCACGCCGGCCGGGAGCGCGTCCGGAAGACCCACGACGGCGAGTGCAAGCTCGGTAAGCCCGAAGGTGGGTGGGTGGGTGGGTGGGAGCGCACGCAGGAAAAGCCGGAGGGAAGACCAACACAACACGCGAGTTCTCTGGATGTTCGCCCAACTTTCTCAGCCTCACTTAGAAGGCATGATGTTCTTTTCAGTGACTGGTTCAGAGTTGACCAGTTCTTGATCTGAACAAGCACCCTCCAAGCGCTCAGGGGGGCTGCCTGCTAGAAGTGCTGGACTACAAATCCCATCGCCGTGGCGAAGGGATTTGTAGTCCTGCACTTTCGGGCAAACGCTCCGGGGGTTCCTGCCAGAAAGGCTGGATTACAAATCCCATTGCCGCGGCAAAGGAGAACAATTGACAGTGTAGTCGAGCTGCAACAAACAGGGGGTTCGGGTTAACGGGACAAGGAGTCAGGACGTAGAGACACAGACTAGAATTCGCCAACTCGCCGCCCAAAGCTTTGTTTTGAATTCCCGAAAGAACCTATAATAAAAACAAAAAGCCTATATGAGGAGGTGTGCTGTTCCGGTAATGCTTTCTTCCAAGTTCACTAACTTTCTAATACCATAACACTGGACTTCAAGGTGTCTATGGAGAACATTTCCTTGGAATTCAAGTTATCTTCCAGATAAATGATTTTAGAATTTGGAGTAGTAAATTATTAGATTTTATCCCCCCCCCTTCTTTTCTTTCTTTCAGAAAATACAAATTCAATAGTGACTATGCACAATATACATTGAACTTTTCCCACCCGTGCCACCTTCACCCTTGGGACTAGGTGACCAGTAATATCAATTGATACCCCTTTTTACCCCATACCTCTCCAAAAATACATTGATTCTTTTGCTGGGATATAGGCTTTCCCCTTCGAAAAGACATACTCCAAATACAAATTCCATACATCTTTGAAATCATTAGACTTTACCATTCCTCTTCTTATTTTCATTTCACGTGTTAATTTATCATTCATTGCTAAGCTTTCTTAGATTTTATCCCCTTCAAATGGAAACTATAATTTCTTCTCTTACCCTCTTAGTCTGCAGTGTTGTAACACTTTTGGGTGGAGTCTCATGAAATGGCAACTGAGTAGTGATGAAACAGAAGGTGGCAATGAAGTCTGAGATTGGGCTGATAAGGTCAAAAATATGAAACTTTAAAAATACTCTCAGAGCCCTATAAAACTTTTTAACATCCTTTAGTAGTTTCAGTCTGTAGTGGTTCATCACAGCTAACATTTATCCCTGAAAAGGTTAAATGCCAATGTCAATCACATAATCATGACTATCAGATCGGAGTCCATCTGGGTATCAAGGTATATGTCATTTTCTGGCTCTTGTCTATTCACCAGAAACATTGAGGTGTCATAATTATTCAATCTGGTCTCCTAGCTGGAGAGTCTTCCTCCTCAGCATAATGTTTTTAAAACACATTTTAAAAGGAGCCTATTGCATTCAACTTTTGATTTGAGAAGAAGAAAGAGATGGAGCAGGCAAATGATAAGGTGTGTACAGCTCTGGGCAGAACTGGTCCACATAGACAAACAAAGCAGACAATCTTTTGGGACATTAAAAATCCTAGATTACCTATCACACTTACGTAAATTGCCTATCACACTTACGTAAATACCTCCACTCTTGGAGGGTAGAATACAGGGGCAGCTTACCAGCTCATGTGCTGGCTGCCTGAATTCCAAGGGATCGAATCAAGAAGAATTTTTTGTACGTTTTTCATCTCTGCACTCCAGGACAGAGACACTGTGGAAAAGAGGAGAAAGTAAAGAAGTGATGGATGTTAACATGACAGTAATGAAACAGGGTCCAAATCAAGTCTTCTCTTGCTCATATACAGGGCACTCTAATGCATGGTTACCTAGGTGTAAATCACACTATTCATGGAAACCACACTGGGTAAAATTAATATTGTAGTCCTAATTTTCAGTGTTTATACGAGTTGTCCTATAGTAAGATAACAAGGGAAAAATTTTAATCTGATCATCCACCACACTAAGCACAAGCACCGTCTTGGCCTGGTTGTGACTTTAGATACATGTAGGATATGAAAGAAATGAGTGGTGTCATGTGATATTTTGCTTTTTTTCTTTGTAAGTGACAATAGAGCTTTCTGGAGGAAGAGGAGGAGGACATAAATTGAATACTGAAGATGCTGAGGGTTATGGTCCTTTTTACTGGTTAGCACAGATTACAGAATAGTGTGTGTTCTCGAAAGATTGAGGATTTCAAAGAAGCAAAATGTCCTGGAGAAAAGGTGGGGTCTAATAGGGAGGATAAAAAGGGTATTGTTGTAGGATGAGGAGTGTTTTACCTGTTTTACATGACTATAGTCTAATTTCCTGCTCATTCTCATTTCAGGAGAATGTTTGTACCTAACAAAGACTTCAGGTTGGTGAATCTTTGGCCCTCCAGCTGTTTTGAGTTACATTTCCCATGGTTCTTTCTAATTGGCCATGCTGGCTACAGCTTCTGGGAATTAGGTCAAAACATCTGGAGAACCATACAGTAGGTTTAGGAAACTGTGGTTTAGGAAACACAATCCTAGTTTACTGTAATCAGGTTCACCTTTCATGGTTAAGAGACATGGGGAAAGGACTTGCAGTGGTGCCATTGTGAATGGTACAGTAGGTGCCTACCTGGAGGTCAGGTTATACTGTAGACATGTTTAGGAGGGCATTGTGCAGTCTTGAGTCTTGAAGTCACTTGAAATTGGTTTTAATTAATTAATTGGAATTAATTGTCCGGTAATAATATGAAGTCTAATTTACTCTGGGAGATGACAGCCTTAGTCAGCCTCTGGCACTTTTCATTTGCAAAGTTTGGGAAAGTTACTTTCAGGGATTACAGATCCCAGGATCCTATCACCACTAGGAAGAGGGCTGGGAATTGTAGTCCAAAACAAGAACATTTCCAAGCTCTGCTTTTGTTCACATACAAGTTCCAGAGTGACATCTTTCCTTCTGATGGAGACTTTGATGAGCCATTATTCTAAGGTCTTCAGTGTGTGCGCAGCCCATTTCAGTAGATACAGAGACACACTCCATGTTCTGTGGCTTGACTGTCTAAACCAGTGGTTCTCAACCTTGGGTCCCCAGATGTTCTTGAACTGCAGCTCCCAGAAGCCCTTGCCAGCGCAGCTAGTGAAGAAGGCTTCTGGGAGTTGCAGTTCAAGAACATCTGGGGATCCAAGGTTGGGAACCACTGATCTAAACAGTGACTCCTAAAAGTCCCACTTTCTTCTAATTCTAGCTTAGAGGTGGATGGTGCTATTTCAGAATTTACAGTATTTGATCCGGACAATCAAATGCTTTCTGCTCTAGGCCATCTCATTTCCCAAATAGCTAACACACACCAAGATGGACCAGCAGAGCTGACTTCTGTGAGGAGCACAAGAATGTCCTGAGGACAGGAGTCCTACCTTTCTGCTAAAATCAGGTACTTCCTGCAATTGTGAATGGCAGCACCCAGTTGAGACTTCGGATGCTGCCATCTGGGCAGGATATAATTAGAGACGGCTGCCAGTCGCTGAACAGCAGTTGTCTCAGGAAACAAGAGCACCCCACACCATGTTGAAATCAAGAGCTGTGTGCCTGTTCCACTTGGCTACGGTATCATTTCCTGACAGTACCAATGATGTGGTGGACCCAGGGCTTGCAGGCTTGACAAGCCAAAACTTGTTGATTAGGTCATTTGCTGCTGCCACCACCCCAGGCTTCCCTGTTCACTCAGAGCTTCATTTCTATCCCCATATTAGCTGCTGGGTGGGGGTGAATTTTCCTGGCATGTATATTGTTATGAGTTATCCTGGTTGTGCCGAAAGCAGAAGGAGAAGAAGACTGAATATGAGGTGTATTGACTTAATAAGGAACTACAACTTTGAGTTTACAGGACCTGAGCTGAATTGCTAGGACCTTTTGGAGGTCACTAATTCATAAGCTGGAGGTGACTTTTCGGCACCTAACGACAACGTCCTTGTTGCAGTGCAAAGTATTGAGAGATGGTTTCATTTTAAAAGTGTAATTAAGATGCTTTAGCTATGCAAAGCACTTTTAAAAGACATAAATAACAGACACCAACAGATCCAGATATTTGTCTATATCCAATGAATGGGGTTAGATGTAGTCCTTGAAAAACTGTGATTAAAAATACACCTTCTTCTTAGTCTTTAGAGTGCCAAAGACTCTGCACATTTTTGAACATTCTTTGGAAATACCTTATGAGGATTGTCATAATGAGCTCCTGTACTTCAGAAATGAACCCTCATATTCCAGCAGGTGTCTTCTAATTTCAGGATCAGTTTATTTTATTTTATTTTTTTTAATCCTAAAAAACTTTCTCTTGGTTTTCTCTCTTTCTCTCTATTTATAAAATCCATCCATGCTTATTTAACGTGTCACCTGGGTTCAGCTTATAATCTTATAATCATTTGTTAATAGTACAATAAATATTAAGATCTTAATCTACACATGCTTCTAACCATTGATAAAACAAGTTCCATGTTTGATAATATTCTGCATCTTCCTTTCCTTTGATTTTCAGTGTCATTTTATCCATTTCGGCGCAGTCCAATATCTTTTTAATTATTTCTTGATCTGTAGGTGTTTCTTCATTTTTCCAGTATCATCAGTTTATTTTCTTGATCAACAGTGGTTGAGGAAATGTAAACATGGTTTGTTAAGCCATTGGACTGTAATGTCTGAACTGACAAGCCAGGAAGTCTGAACGGTGATTAGCCAGCAAAGAGTGATCAGAAGCTATTATTTCAAGTGGAAATGGAAATAGTGGAAGACAAAAGTACAGTCAACCCTCGACTTACAAATGGCCCTAGTTACAAACATTTCGACATACAAACTGCTCTGATAGAAAAATATTGACTCGACTTGCAAACTTAGATTCGAGTTACGAACCAAAAAAAGTGAGGGAGGTGGGGAAAGCACGAAATTTGAACTTTCAGTTAACCATTGGCCAGTGAAGAGGGTGCCTGACTGCTTCCTCGTTCTT